TACTGTATAAATTTGAGCGCAATCAATTCACAAAAGTTATGCTAAAAAAATCGAAAGGTGATATAATTTTAACTGGTACTGTATGTTTATATATACACTCTTATCGCTAAAATTAAAATAATTCAATAGAAAGTTATTTATATAGTTAGCACCCATATCAAGTGCACAATGTAAAGGCTTTCTTTTCAGTGCATTAACTTTTCACTGCTTCTATTTTGACTTGAGGCAGTTTATGCGTTTATGTTCTATACGCTTCGATCACGTGTAATTCGGAACGAATATTTATGGTACTATGACTCTTAAATGAATCGGAAATCCTTTTGATAATGCAGAAAACAATAGTTTTACAACCTCTTTATGATTATCTGCTAAGATAGAACCATACTTCATCTAGATCTAAAAGTATAATCCAATCAGCGTGATGAACTTCCAATAGTTGCAAAATAAACTTTCTGCAGAATGCAACTACGATTTCTACACTGGGCCCCTATTCTTGATAAGTATCGCATACGAAAAACTAGGAAAATGCTAGTATATGTAATGCGTACTATAGTATTTCCTTAACTTTTCGTATGCAATATTTTTCGAGAATAGAAGCCCAACCTATTCTGTAACTTTTAATGCAAATTTTGTTATTATAACGCCACTGCGCAGCTTTTTTACCATAATGAAAGAGCTGCGCAGCAGCGTTTCGTGATAACGAAATTTACGTTGAGAGAATAGGCCTGCTGGACGCGGAAACGCTTACCGCACGGTAAAATGTGACGCTATAGCCAATAAAATAGTGTAAAATAGTGTTTTGATTGCATGATTTTATTTAGTATTTGTAATTTCATTAATATAATGTAAATACGATTTCTAAAATATACTTAATAAAAATAATGTACATAATATATAAGATAATAATATTTTATTTGCGTAGTATAATTTTTATTTGCGAAACATTATTATATCTGATCATAAAAAATAAATTTTTTAATCTATATATTGGATATAAATATTTTTGTTTTATAAAATATACAACATTTTGTTTTATAAAATACACAGATTGTTGCGAAAAGTTTTCAGAAATGTTTCACTTTTTATATGCAATTCTAAAACGATGCTGTAAAATGTTGCAGCATAAAAAATTCAGCAATATATCATATGAAATGTTGCAACATAAAGCTTAAGGATCCTGCAAATGTTATATGAAATGTTTCAGTAGAAATATTCTAAAATCTATCCGATGCAATAAATTGAAAAACATCCAAACAGAATACAAAATCATCATGACATTAAATTGACGTTAAAATGGCTGCAAAATGTTTATTAATTAAAAGTCACTTTTTGATCAATCACTTTTTGATTCAATTTAACGTCATTTTGATGTTATCGTATGTTCTACTTTAATTGCAAAAAATTTTTGTATATGAATAACGATATTGTGTAGAAACTGCTGATTAGTGATATTTTAATTATTGATTGATTGATCACATTAGATGTATGTATACGTTTATACATATAATGTGATCAATCAATCAAAACAGTGGCGATATAATTACTATTTTTAAGAAATACTTTAAGTTTATTTCAATAATCTTTGTAATCTCAGATTATAAAACTCTTAATAAATTTTAAGTACTTCAGAAATGATGTTTAAATATATATTTAATACTTAAACAATACTTAAATTTATTATGTCGATATAATAAATTTAAATATTATTTAAGTATTAATTAAATACAGTAAGTCAAGTAAGAGCGTGGTCGGCCTTACTCAAAGCTAATAAAAGATATCGCCCTAAATCTATCATGAATCCATAGAGGGCACCTTTGTCCTTGATGCACTATCAAGGAAGATTCAGTTATCATTGAACTTTCTTAAGAGAATCACATTAAGTGCCATGAGTACCAAATACGCATCACGCTATGAAGCTGTGTTCCTCTGTACTCACCCGAAAGGTCCAAAAATGTCACAATTAGCTGCTGCTAAATATATGAAAAAGTCGAAATCATTCGTACAGAAGTGGGTGCAGCGGTATAATGTGGCAAAAAATGTCGATGATTTACCGGAACGTGGCTCGATATGCAAAGTGGACAAAAAAGACTATAAAAAAATAGTGAATCTGTTTTCGCGGAATCCTGGCTTAACACTGCGTCAAGGACAAGCAAAATTGAAGCAGAAGGGTTTAGATATATCGTATGAAACTATTCGAACCTATCTCAAGGCTAATAACATAAAATGGTGCAACACAGTGAAGAAACCTCTGTTGAATGAAAAACATGAAGCGACTCGCTTGGGCGCGCGAGAACATTGATCAAGACTAGCAATGTAATTTTTACTGACGAATGTTCCATATGGGCACGTTGTACCCTCAAACGAGCCTGGTCAACTTCCAGAAATAAAATTGTCGGACCGTTAAACATGGAGTAAAGGTGCATCTTTGGAGCTGCTTTTCAAAGCAGAGTTTCGGCATTTTGTACTTGTTTACTTGCAACCTGAACACCGAGAAAATGCTCGAAATCTACAAAAAGGTTTTGTTACCGTCTGCCGAACGTTGGTTCATCGACAAAAATGAGGATTGGATTCTGCACGAGGACAACAATCCCAAACATCGCAGCAAGCTCTGTACCGAGTGGAAACAGCAATCTGGCATAATTACACTGGATTGGCCGTCGCAGTCGCCCGACGCAAATCCTATCGAAAATGTGTGGGCATACATTAAGCACAAGCTTCGTGAAAAACGCACTTACATTTTAAAGCAGCTATCTCGCGAGATTCGACGGATTTGAACCTTATCGTTAGAATATGCCGTTAATTTGGTCGAAAGCATGCCTCGAAGATGCCAATTATCGATGCCGATGGTGACTGGTCGCATTACTAATGTAATTGCATCTTTGATTTGATCGAGTACTACATATATAAAAATTTTATTTAATACTATTTATTTTTTTATACATTAACTCGACCACGCTCTTACTTGACTTACCGTATATATTTAAATATCATTTTTGAAATATTATAGAAATGTATATAAATTTCTATAAATGTTTTATATATTAATATTTATATTGATTTTTATACATATACAATAATGTACATACATAAAAACAATGCAACAAAAAATCATGCATTTCTCTTTTCTTTTTTATTTTTTTATATATCATCCCTAGCGAAAATAAAAACTGGAATGTAAGTTGAATGTAAGGGGAGAGTAAGAAGTGTAAGTTAATAAGCTTCTATATATAGAAAGAAAAAAAATTGAAACAAAACGTAAAAGAGCTAAATATTTACGTTTTTTTATGTTTCATTATCTTAATTTTTGCTTCTTAAAAGCTTCTTTTATAGTATCTTCTATTACTCTCCCTATTCGACGTATGCTCCAATTTTTATTTTTGTCGAAGTTTTTAAATCGACGTAAATTATTGAGTTTTACAATGGCTGTACGTCTCTAAAGACATGGCAATGATCGTCTGTAATGGTACACATAATGTTATTGGTGGAATGTATTTTCATACACTCATGAGCGTAACTTCAATAGAATACCAAAAAAAAATTCATAAGAATATATAGATATCATTGAGTCTTCTCACATCAAGGTATCTCTTATAGAAAAATATATAATAATTAATTAGGCCTAATAGTATAATAATTAACATAAAAGGAATATGATTAATATAAAAAAGAGAAAAGTATTAAATTTTTAATCATATATTTTTATCAACTATCTACTTATTATAAATACTACCTGCGTTGATGAAGGCTTACCATCACATTATACCAAAGATCTATATTAATTCTTTTCAACTGAACTTCTTGCACCATTCATTTTTCTCTTTTTCTCTCCAATGAGGAACTGCACAAGAAATTCAGGATTCTTTTCAGCAGTGTGTTCAGGAATTACGTTTATATTCTAGATAACTTTAGACTATAGTTTACGTCACGTGACGTGTATATTCTATAATAAAAGTGCATATCAGATTTGGCGTGACAGGAATGATCTCTATGAAAAACCGTATTAGAATGCATGGATGCGAAATTTCTGATAGATTTCTGTGTTATTTTTATTGTTATCTAAACCTCTGTTACATGCCACGTTTAATCGGGTTTAATAATATTCGTGGTTATGAAATTGGCCAATCATAGCTGTTCCTCGGAAGAATGGAATGATTCTGATTGGCCTGTTTCATAACTACGGATGTTATTAAAGATTTCTTTTACTAACCTCGATTAAGTTAACCAACGGTTATATGGAGCTCATTTAAGGCCTAGTTTCACAACTCAAGATTAACTTTTAACCGAGATTTAATTTATTTTAAGTTAAATCTTGCTTAAAAGTTAACCATGGGCCTAAATGAACCCCATGTAACCGTAAATGTAGTCACTATTCTCTCGCATTGTGCGAGGAACAACTCCTATATACTTTCCAGCTAAAAAAAAAACCGACTAAAGTTATGTTTCAAGGCCGTAGTCCGATTCATACTGACAACACTCATGAGCATCATTTTTGTCTTCGTTCAAACATTTGACAAACAACAAGGATGAAATGATTTTTAAACGAGCAAAATTTACTGCCAGTGCTGAAATGTATAGTATACGTAACGTAAACTGTAGATTTTCAGCAAAGTGAATTTTAAAACATAGCGTAGGATCACTCGTATATATGTGCACGATTGATCTGCCGCGCATGCGTAAAAAGCACACTTCCCACTTGCAACACTGAATACGCAGCAACACGATTGTAGGGGCCGTGTCGCCTACGCTGTCCTACGGCACTCATTTCCTACGCCGTAATCCGTTTTCTGGAATGCATTGATTTTTGCTTTGCAAGCGGTAATTCGCGCCCGATTCAATTCTCAAAGGCACCTTCTATTACGAATTAATGAATTGTACTGCTAATAAGCGAGAAATTCGATGGCGTCGGACAAATTCTTTGACACAAATGCGGAACTACTTTGCACGCCAGCGCGTAAGGTTACACTTAAGGACAACCATTTGGATATATAAGGCCCCCACTACAAGTACCGCTCGGCCATTCTGCATGTTCTCTCTTAATGGTGCGGCTGGGTCTCGCTTATATACGCCTCAGGCAACGCTGGCTGTATTGTCTCCGGAACTCTCAGGAAGGCAGGAGCCATTAATTTAATTAAGAAGAAGAAGAAGCCTCAGATGACTTTACTGCTGGCGAGCGATCGACTAAGCGCAAGTCAGATACAGGTTGGTGTATTCGATACTTAAATCAATACTTAGTTGTATGATGGGGCGAGCAAGAATAGTTCCTACTTATGGAAGTGTGACGCAATTATCCACGGCCACGAGAGACATTCGCGATCGGCCGCGAGAGATTGAGATGGGCAAGCCGAGCCATACGGAACAATTGACTAGCTGGATCACTAACGTGCGTCAGAAGAAGCTAAAGTGCCATAGGAGCCCCAAACGCGATTTCCATATGGAAGCCGTGTTGACTCACGCTCTACACAAGGCGGAATACGAGTTGCGGGCTAAGCAGTTATCAAGGATAGTTCGTTGGCAGCGTTTGCGAAAGCATCTCCTCAAGGACGTGGAATACGGCAGCTGCGGCCTGTATAATAGAACTGAACGAGAATTCGAGAGATGTCATGATCCTGACTCGAGGAACACGAATTTCTGGCGGGATAACTTGTGCGAAGATCTTAGCAGTATAGTGGACTTCCTTCAGCAGCTGAGTACAATTAAATCGTCCGTGCAACGGTGACTAGGCCTAGAAAGTGTACAGTTTTTTCCATAGATAATGATGGAAACATTGTAAAGATATGAAAATCTGCAAAAAACTCAATCATATTTTCAAGCTTATTCAAGTAGCTTGTTTGAGTGAATGGGCCATGCTCCGCATTAACTCCTAATAAGAGAATGCGTTTAATCAACTACAACACTATACAATAAATGCTGATATGACAATCTATGGATGGATGTCTATGGATCGATGTCTATCTTCTGCTTGTTTTTTCTCTGCCTCACTGAAGCAGAACAGGAAATGTTTGACTTACGAACCAATCTATTCTAGTATGGAGCTATGTTTCAATATCAGCAAGCAACCTCCAGATGTATCCAGAAGATGCCAAATAATCCTGCAGCGTTATGGCAATTTTTTGCAGTCTCATCGTTATTAGTATATATCTAGATATTTTTTACTTGCAGTCTCACCGTTTGAGATGGAGGACGCAGGTGGAAAAAAAGGATAGAGAGAAAGATAAGAGAGTTGCTGTAATACAGGTGCAGACCTTGGGATTTTGTACGCATACACACACACATCTGCCTTCCTACCTGTCATCAATTTGGTTTGTAAACTGTATCGAAACCAAAGTATTTTCAATATTTAGAGTTTGTCTGCTAATATAATATATTTAACATGTGTTAAATAATTAAAGAAAAACACTGATAAAGAACATGAGATAAAGAACAGAAAGGAAGAAAAATTTTCACATTATTCTAGACATACTTTTAAGTTTGTAAAAAATTTGTAAATTCATATACATATATTATAAGACTGCCTTTTATTGTGATAATAATTCTATCAGTGTGTAGCATTTAACTCTTCTTGATCCTGAATAGTATAACAAATATTTAATCCTTCGGTGCAACTATGACATACTCGACTTTTCTTTTATTTAAATGCTAATTTTTTTTATTAAGAGAACTACATATATTTGTATATTTATATTTTTTTATATTTATATTATCATATTTT